TTCGCCGAGTTTCACGTGCTCTCACGCGTTTAAGTACGGCAGTTGCAATAAATGTTTAAGAAATAGCTTCCTGTCTCCGTCGCATGTAGAATCTCCTTCCAAAAATTCCTCTTCTCCAGTAAACTTTCCTTAGAGCAATTCGTTCTTTGAGAATCTACATCTCTTTTACATTCCTAGTCCTTTTCAAAATCCTTTTAAAAAAATGTCAATATGATATATACAGTTATTATTAAATATTTAATTAAATATTTATAATTTCAGTAAATAAATGTTATATTAAATAATATATAATGAAAAATAAAGTAATAAGATTGAACAGTTTATTATCGATCCAATTATCATCATCATGAGAGCAATTTGACTATAGACAAGCGATTTCCGCCAGTCCCGTGAGAAGTCGCTGTTCTTAAGCAAGGCAACATCAGACATGTCCGTCTCGCGGGAGAGGAAAGCGTGTCAATTATTAGTGCTTCAATTTTTTAGCGTTTACAACTGGACAAATGGCACTTGTGTTGAGCTAGCCGCACGAAATTGATCTACAGCGTTGAGGAAAAGAAAATGAGTTTCTCTGTGAAGAAGACCGGCGGCAGAATGTGGCACGAGGCACGCAAGCAGGAAAAGAAAATCCGCGGTATGCTGGTCGATTATCGTCGCAGAGCGGAACGTAGAAGGGACTACTACGAGAAAATCGTAAGTACTGCGCAAAAACGTATATAATGGATTTCTTCCTTCGTGCAGTTTGAAACGGATCAATGCACCACGCATTATTTTTACGAAAAATACATATTCTCTATTTCTTGGTTAACCTTCATTGTGCCTTTCGTGCTTCTTTGTTCTATATTTAAATTATCATTGTGAGTAGAAGTATTTCTGTGATACATAAGTATATGTTTTTGTGTTCCACTTAGAAATCAGATCCTACTCAATTTCTGCAGCTGCATGGTAGACCATGCAAGATACACTTGGATCCAGCAATAGCTGCTGCAGGTGACAGTCCTGCAAATATGTGAGTTCTGCAACATAGTACGACTGTTAATTATGCTTGTTCATTGATAGAAAATAATATATTTTATTATTAGGATGCCATGGCAAGGCAATGATGACAATCTTATAGACCGATTTGATGTACGGGCACATCTGGATTGGATACCAGAGCCTGTGGATACTATTGATGTTGATATTGCTCTGACAAGTGAAGACAGACATATCAACTATGAACGATACCGTATAATTGTGCAAAATGAGTTTTTAGGCGGTACATTGTTTCTCTTTTCTCCATTGTACAAAAAAATCTTACTAGTCTATTATATTTTTATTTAAATGATTTTTTTTTAGTGACTGAAGAAAAGTTTCTTCATCAAATACATTTAGAAGAACAGTTTGGTTCATCAACAAAGTTGGATGCTGCGAAAGATAAGAAGAAATCTGCTAATAACGCTGCCATCGGATATAATTATGAAACAGAAGAGCCAATACCTGAACCAGTAAAAACAATAGACTCAGTTATATCAGAGGAGAAGGGAGATGATGAAGACAGCGATATAGATTTAGGTATTATATATGTAATGAACTGTTTAACATATTTTAATCAGGTATTTTGCATAGAAACTGATGCCAGTGATTCATTTAAATTCCTGTACATAAAAAAAGTATAAAACATATAAATATTATGTTTACACAAAATGTATATAATTATGTATACATATAATTAAAAATTATATATATAAAATTACCATATATATTATATGATAAATTCATCACTAATCTATGAGTGAAGTCGAAATTTCACTTTAAATGCTTTAAAATATTTGAAAGAATGCTTCAAACATTACATTGACCGTACTCTATAATGTTTGAACAACAAAAACAGGAGCCGATACATTTTCGGTATATTTGGTTTCAATAATGCATTAATGTGCTCTGGAATACTACAAGAATGAATTAATTTTTTAATGTTACTTTTTTCAGATATATGCGTGGATGTATCTCAAATAGAACCATCTCAGGCACATGAGATGAATTTAGTAGCTCAAAAATATGGACTTTTAGGTGCTGATTATTTTAGCTTTTTAACACAAGATTTTGAAGAAGCTGAAACCTTGCGACAGGCTCGCAAGCAAGAGGAAGAAAAAGCTATGTACTCGGTAAGTGTGCAATGTAATTCAAACAACTCATATATATTTATATAATATGTAATTGTATATATTATAATATACTATAATATTAGAAAATATATCACATTAATATAAATATTTAATATATAATATGTTTTAATGTTTGTTTTATATTTTGATATATAATAGGGTCGACGATCGCGTAGAGAAAGACGTGCATTCAGAGAAAAGAAGATGATAGGCCGTGTTATGAGTCCGCCTAGGTAATAATTCATTACAATTTTAAAGCAAATACTTTTTTACGTTATCGCTTATACAAATTCTTTTGTCTCAGTTATGCAGCTAGGGAAAGCCCGGAGTATAATCCTTACAGAAAGTCCTCTTCCAAGTCGCGATCGCGGTCCGCATCACCTGTAAATGCGGGACAGATTACTTACATCACAAGTTTCGGTGGGGAAGAAGAAACTCATGGTAGCACATCACATGTGTCTTCGTCGAATTCAAGAAAAGTCAATTATTCGTATCTCAGACGGCGGAGATCGGATAGTCCTGCTTTCAATGATAGAACTGTTAGTAAAAAAATTTCCAAGTCCAGGTCAAGAAGCTGCTCGCGTTCCGTTAGTAGGACTAAGTCGTATAGGACACGTGATAGGAAGCGAAGCGGATCTAGGATGAGGTAAGTTACAAAAAAACAAAACATAATGGATAATTATTGATAAATTAATATTTTAATATATATATGTATAGAGAGAGAGAGAGAGAGAGAGAGAGAGTTTTAATTTACTTTTGAGGCTTCCATAGGAATTTTCTATATAGAAGCTATTCGTTTTAGGTTATCTCCATATCCAAATCCATTATTAATATGCTAATGTAAAATGGATTTGAACATGGAGATAACCCACGAAATGCATAGCTTCTGTATAGTATTTAATCTGTTTTATCTTAGATCTAGACGAACACGCTCGAGACCTCGGAAGTATACAAGATCCCGTACAAGAAGTCGCTCCAGACGATCACGAACGCGAAGTAAATCACGGTCGCGTTGTAGAAGTATCAGCCGATCTCGATCCCGTTCACTTTCTCGTTCGAGGTCTAGATCACGCTCGCATTTGAAAAGATCGAGGAGTTCATCCTCTAGCAGCATATCAAAATCAAGATCGAGATCTAAATCGCGTAACAGGAGCCATTCTAGAGACAGCTATCGAAAAAGACGTTATTCATTGTCGAAGTCAAGATCCAAGTCTCGCTCGAGATCGAAGTCTCCATCAAGATCTAGATCGAGATCGAGAAGTCAATCTAGTTGTAAACGATCGCGAAGTGATGATAATAAAATGCCAGCACTGCCTAGGTGAAGATATCACAGATTTTCCCAAGAAATAAATTACTGTAGCATATTGAATAACTTACATATTTTACGTGCAGATATTATGGCCGACGTGGAAAATCGTCAAGTCTTGAACTAGAATTATCCGATAACGAAGAAAAGTCCAGTCCAGCAGCACCGAAGACACCGATAAATACAAGCGTGTAGGCATTTTATGAACAGCAATTCTAATTTGTCACACATCTTAAATTATTATGATATGGATTTAATATTTTCCGAATATTCCAGGAACAAGCCAAAAGCAGGGTTAAGTACAAATTCTGGTGGCGGACACAAAGTCAGTAAGAACCATAACGCTTTCTTAGTCACTTAACGCACAGAGAATAAAGACAGAACATACTTATATAAGTATCTTATCTATATAAGTATAATGTCTAAATGTCTTTCATCTGAACGAAGAACTTCATCAAACGCGTTTTGTTTTTATTATATCACATTACTGATATGTCATATTTTTTGCATTTATTTATTTTATTTTTAATTTATCTTGGAACAGAATTTTAACATATTTAGAGTTAGAGTCACAAAGAATGTGAAAATTTTCACGTGAATTGTTATATTATTATTTTATTTTAAAATAATTGTTGCTGGGACCAATTCATGTCCAATTGATTATCTTATTATTTTTTTCATTGCTCATAATTGCGTTTTATTAATCATTCAATAAAGGAAATGAATTCTTTGTGGTGTATGTATATATATATATATATTATATATACACACATATTTAGTTATGTCTTGTAATTGGCAATAATATATTAATGCATAATCAAATATTATACGTTAGACTTTTAAATTATGCTAAAAATACCGATTCTTCTCTAGCTCTTTCTTTATAAACCTTTAAGAGTTTGTTTATTTTTCAGTCGTTGAAAATTACACCTCAGGAGCGGCTTAAGAAGAAAATGCAAGTCCTGTTAAACAGGCAGTGTGAGTTGATGTTTGAAAGAATAAAGGACATTATGTGTCATGAAAGGTAAATGTAAAATGAATTCTTTTAGATAAAGCTGACAAGAAAGCTGAGCAGTTGAGAATCGAGAAGATGGAGCAGCAGAGACAGGATCGAGAAGACGAGATTCGAGAAATGTCTTTAAAACTCCGTAGAAAGTAAATAATTTTCATGAATTGTGATACAGCGCAATTTTTTAAGTTTAACTTAAATAGTGACATGAATGCTGTTTTATTTTTCAGACAGAGAGAACGAAGACATCGTTACGAAGGTCATAGTTCCGACACGCGGTCTTCTATGTCTCGTACACCAAGTCCGAGTCGTAGTCCAAGGCATCATACCGTACGTCGCGATAGGCGAGACACGGATGGTGATCGCGAGCGGGATAGGGACAGGGACAGGGAGAGAGATCGACGCGATGATCGCGATCGGAGTAGAACAGAATCGCGTAGGAGATACAGAAATTCACCACTTCGTTCATTGAGTCCGAGGAACAATCGGTAAAATTCTCCGAATCTGACGCCTAGAATTGCGATTACCGAGTTGCACCGATAATTCATATTTACTGGACATTAGCAATTATCTCTATTAGTATTGATTATTAACACAGAGAAGATTATTAAGCGGAGATCAATGCTGATTCGGTGCAACTAAATATAACAGTGTACATTTTATATGCTGCTAAAAAAAAACCTATGCCATTTTACGTTATTGCAGAGGCCTAGTCGACTATTGACTTCAGGACACACGCTTACTCTTCCATCCAAATGATTTGAAACCGATATTTTGAATATTTCCCGTTCAATTGCATTCCTTCCTTAAATTACTGTTAATATCCAAAAGAATTACATGATGAGGGAAAAGTATACAGACCTGCCAAGATTGTTTTAAAATGCGTCTTGAATTATATATAGTGTGATTTAATCTTTACAATATTATCAAATAAATAAAGGTATTCGTATATTATCGTTTTGCTTGCACAGATTAATTCTTGGTGCTTATGTAAGAATTAGAAAAATTGCGATGAGAATAGTTAATAATGTTATCGCGAGGATCATGTCTACGATTTTCATTTCATACGCAAGAAGGATAAGAATATAATTCTTATATCCTAGAATTGAATGCACTCTTTTTATTATGTATCTCTCTTGTTAAATATAATTCTTCAATAATAAAGATGTTTATTTCACAGCAGGGCAAAATGGTGATTATTTTTTATACCTCTTATCATATTATGATATCAAAGATAAAAGATCAAGGAACGTATGATATAATCTTTATGTACAACTTATTTTATTAAATTCGCTGTAAAATATATATGAAAGCAAGAATATAGAGGTCGGTGAAATGGAATAAGATAGATGTTTTATTTGAGCGTTAGAAAAAAAGAAAAATGATAAATTTAACTCTAGAAAAAATGAAAATAAAATAAATGAATCTAATATTGATTGTTAGAACTTAGAACATGTTTAAATACCAAAAAAGTCTAATTAATTTGAAATTATAAGCTTGATAAAATATTTGAAAACATAATTTACTGGCATACAATAAAGATAACTGTTTCTATTGTCTTTGTTAGTAGTCTTTCATCCATCAAGTATATATGCCTTCCAGATATTATCCAGTATACTTACGGATGATGAGTGATCCGTGCAAAAATCCGCATAAACTTTTGGCTAGCACTGTACTGGGACTACTAAGAAAGAGAGAGAGGTCTTACTTGTAGCTGAACTTCTCGATTCGTATCGTTAATCTTTCCTCTTTTTCTCTCCAATATCTAATCATTATCTATTTCATTTTAAGTGCAGGAAGCAATATAGTGCAGCTACGAACAGAATCAAATATTACAATGTCATTATGTCAATCCTGTTAGTCGATTAGTAGTTTTCCATCTGCTAGTATATGGTTAAATGGAATATATATGTACATATTTTGCATAATCTAATCACTGAATTGTTTACCTACCAATTATTTAGTCATAAGGCTATTAAAGGAATACTAAAATGGCATCAATAAGATTTGCAATTTTAACCGGTAATATATACTATAACATATTTCTGACATTTACGTGGAATATATCAAATATTTGCAACTTATAAAAATTTAAAAGATTACAAAATATTTTAATTATGCACACGTTTGAAAATTAAATATGATTACACATTGTGCTTTCATTGCATTCATATCTTTAATTTATAATCTTGTGTAGATTATAGAATATAATACAATAAGCCTTCGTATAAGAAATATTTTTAATACATCTATATATATTGCATTTCTCTTGAATTTTAATAAATCTTTTATAATGTTTTAGTGAGTGATACTTGTGCTAGTGGTGAGAAAATAGATGAAAGTGGACCTGGATTAAAAGCATTTATCAGCAATGCAAAAAATATATTTCAAGGAGATATTTCTTGCACTGCTATTGTAGAGGATGATGAAACGTCAATAATGAAATATTTAATTCAATGGAGTGATGAAAATAAAGCTGATGTTATTCTCACCACTGGCGGCACTGGATTTTCTGAGAGAGATGTTACACCTGAGGCAACTAAAAAAGTTATCCATAAAGAAACTCCTGGACTGTCTTTAGAGATGCTTATGTCGAGCCTAAAAATAACTCCAATGGCAGTACTTTCTCGGTAAAGTCATTTCTTTTTTCTATTCTGTAATCTCTTTAAAGTTACAATTTTTAATATGTTTTTAGAGCTGTATGCGGAATACGACATAAGACACTGATTGTTAATTTGCCTGGTTCACGCAAGGCTGCAATAGAGTGCTTGACTGCAATCGCACCTGCAATTCCGCATGCCGTAGATTTAATTTTGGATAATAAAGCAAAAGTTAAAGATACACATAACATTGTGCAACATAATATTACGTCTTGTTCGCATCATGCTTCTTGTACAAATCCAGTGAGATTTTTTTTATCAAAAATGATTTTACACAAAATTGTATAATACAATTAGATTATATATTCTAGATGAGTTTCGAGAATGTGGCAACACGTCTCAGAGAATCCTCATTTCCTATGATATCTGTGGCAGAAGCACTGCACATAATACGCTTTGAGAGTACAAAGGATGTGGAGGTGGAAATCATAAATCTGAAAGATGCTTATGGTAGAGTATTATCAGGAGAGAGCATACGTTCTAATTGTGATTTGCCACCATTCAGAGCTTCCATAAAGGATGGATATGCGGTCTTAGCAAGTGATGGAAAAGGCAAAAGGACAGTTTTGTGTGGTGTGAAAGCAGGAACTGCAGTAAGTCACAATAGCAGACGCTCAACATGATGCAAAAGAGAATAATTAAAAAAAACTTTCAGCCCGCTTTGGTGTCTCTTAAATCTGGCACTTGTGTACGAGTGAATACTGGAGCACCCATTCCTGATGGTAAATAATTGTAATTGTAATTTACTTATGATAAAGAATTTACATTTTCTGTCTAATTGCAGAAGCAACAGCGGTTGTACAAGTTGAGGATACAAAGCTAGTGTCAAAGAGTTCTGATGGAACAGAGGAAGAAGAAATTGAGATAATGATTGAACCGAAAGAAGGACAAGATATTAGGTACGAAGCTTAAAGATGTATCATCTATACAATCCTTGTAAAAGGTTTTTGGAAATTAGAAATGCATTAATATTTATATTTTCCAAATAAAAATAAATACTAAAACTGTATATGTATATCAAATAGTTGTGTGCATATTTTATTCATTTATTTAAGAATATTTTTTAATAGTTTATTTATTGCATTTATTTTTTTCTTTATTATTATAATACTTCTTTAGAAAATTATAATTTCGATTTCTTTATATAATCACATAATAACTTTAAATAATCAATTATTTATGCAAAGTTTTATTGTGATTTACAGATTTGTTGTTCGGTAAATAAAAAGAGTTTAATGGAGTAAATTTTATTTATTTACAGAACAACTTATGACTTATAACTAATTTGTGAATTGCAATAAAATTTTACATAAATAATCTTGATTATTTAAAGTACTTATACATAATGAAATTGAAATTGTTATCATTATTTTTTAAGTTAAAGTATATAACAATAACAAAGAATAATAAATGCAGTAAGCATAAATGATAAAAATAAGTTGTTAAATAAATAATAATGTTGTTTAAATAACTATTTCACATGTATATAATTTTAATATTTAGTTTTATATGAAAAGTATAGATATTAATCCATTTCTAATTGCAAGTTTTTGCAGGGACTATATTAGCTGATACATCTTTAAGATTCCTATAAGTTTTGTCAAAATAAGTTTTATTTTACTCTTAATTATAGAAATTTATTTAATTATTTATTTATGTTATTGAAGACATATTGGCTGTGATATAAAAAAGGGAAGCTTAGTGTTAAATCCGTTCACAAGAATTGGGCCGGTGGAAATAGGACTACTAGCGGCCTGTGGCTACAAACGCGTTGCAGTTACTTTACTTCCACGTATAGGTATACTGTCTACTGGAGATGAGTTACAGCAACCTGGAGAGCCTTTAAAACCAGGACAGGTCTATGATAGCAACAGAATAAGTCTAATCTCATTATTAAAAGAAAATGGTTTTGATTCTTTGGATTTCGGAATTGTAACTGATAAGTATGTCAACATTTATTATTTCTAGTACAATGATTCGTATTTATATCTCACTTTTATATAAATGCGCTCATTTATTTTTGAAATTTTATAATATATGTAACATAAATATATATATGCTTGCGTTTATAGATAAAAGTAAGATATGAATATGGACATATATATATTTCAATATCTTTTTAATTTATTAATATAGTTAATTATAAATAAAGAATTAACATAATCTCATTATTAACATAACATAATATTATAGCACAATGGAAATGGCAAATAAAATTGGCATAGCTTTAGAAAAAGTAGATGTACTTGTGACAACAGGTTCTGTATCAATGGGCGATAGAGATCTATTGAAGCCTATTTTAGAGAACATTTTTAAGGCTACTATACATTTCGGTACCTTCTTTTTTTAATCATCTCTATGTCAATACATGTTTCTTATATAAAGTGTCAAAATATCTTTTTTTAGGACGCGTAAATATGAAGCCCGGAAAACCAACGACATTTGCAACGTGCACAATCTTAGGTAAAAAAAAATTTATCCTGTGCCTGCCAGGAAATCCAGTGTCTGCTCTTGTTACCGCACATTTATTCCTCTTACCCCTTGTGAATGAGCTACACTTTGATGCTTCAGAGTCAATCATAATGCAAGCTAAGGTTTGTAAGATCGTCTTGATATTTTGCAAAACAATGCAAATACATGATACATAAAAACGTTGTTCTAATCTCATAGTTAACATCATCGTACAATTTGGATCCGCGTCCCGAATACGCAAGAGCAATCTTGAAGTGGAATGATAAAGAAACACTTCCAATGGCTTATAGTACGGGAAATCAAATCAGTAGCAAATTACTTAACTGTAATGATGCTAATGCGCTTCTAATGTTGCCAGAAAGAACTGCGGAGAAGGAAGTATTGAATGAGGGTGATGTTGTACCAGCGAGGCTTATTAGTCTTAAATCTCCACGAAAAAGAATTCAGATTAATTATACATTGGATTAAAAATATACATTTAATGTACATATTTATTGTGTAATATTATCAGAAAATTATTTTTGGGATAGCTTTATAGCTTTCTATTTTCCTTATAATAAACTTTTCATGAAAATCATGTCGCTATTCTCATTAATTTTCATTATATGCTACTAAGCTATTAAATTTTTTATGAAAGCTTTTTTTTTATATCATATTTAATACATAATAATTTTAAACATTCAAATTTTTTTTCTGAATAAAAATATATAGAATAAATAAATTGTTCTTGTGTCAAAGGCGTAAGTTAAAATTCGCGAAGAATCATATGTGAGTTACAATCTTTCAATAATAAAATCTTTTATGGAAGATGGATTTTGTCAACGTATGAATTTATCGCTGATAAAAGAATATTTCTCATATATATATATATGCAATGCACTTAACTTTTGTTCGTGTAGCACGCGCATTTCGAACACAATACACATAATATATTATCACAATCCGATTGGTTGTATCACCTCCATCACTGCTTACAATTGGTTACAGTTATCGAGGAAAGTCTATTGGCTCTAAAAGTGTCATTCCATCTTCATCAATCTTCATCATTTTTCAGACGTAAACCAAGAATAAAATGGCAAATTAGGATTAATAGGCTTAGTAGTTTATTTTTTTGTTATATTGAGTGCCACTGAGCCAGTATCGAATATTAATATTATGTTCATTCTTTTTTTTTCGAGGCATTCAAGGTTGTGTAATTATCTTCTTATTTTAAATAAATTACATGAATTATAACAAAGGATCTCTTTTGTGGCTAAACTAGTGTACACTTTTGAAATTTAAAAGTGAGATATACGTCTGGTCGAAAGAATATAAGGTGAAATACTCCCGTGGATGCGCAGTGGGAGAGTGAATTTGGGTCACATTTGATTGGCTGTTCCTGCTTAACCAGCGCTATTATACGCAGGAAAGTACATATTAGGGAACATTTGATTGATTATTTCCAGTATTGCTATCACCATTATGCGCAATGTTTTTTATATTATATTCTTTCCACTATAGATATACGTATAACATTTGGCGAAAACAAGAAAGAAAGTTCTAGAACTATCTAGTGCAGAAATGAAAAACAGTTATAATTCTAGTCGAGAATAGGTCAAGTTTATGTCTATATTTTCCGGAATTCTTGCACATTTCTATAATATTTCGATAATATTTTAATACAACGATAAAAAACACCTGTTGGTGGTCAAATTGATCCTGTGAAGGCTGTGGAGAACTGTGTTCGGATTTCGAAATTCGTTAATAGTCAATCGTGATAAGTCAACAATTGGATCTTAACCTACTTTTCTATTTTAGATTTGCTCGATTTGCTATTTGCTAATTTCGAGCCTTTCTTGAAGAGGTTAAAGGCATAATAAATCCATTGCCCAGTGGAGTAACATACCAAAATTGTCCACATTCACTTACATTCAGAGCGTTCTCGACAGTAGGAAGCTTTATTCTCGCCGGTCAAATGCCGAAGAATAGAAGTAGAAATGCATTTTTTTTCTTTATGGCCGATTGGAAGAAACGCGAGGAAGCGCAAGGCCGAGCGTTTCCTAATGGATTCAAAGACGTTCAACAGGATCCGGAGTGTAACGCGGAATGGCAGGTAAGTTTATAAAAGGAAGAAGCATCAGTATAATTCCGGCAGGCTCAGTTTTTGATATAGTTATTAGCCTGGTTTACACCGTTCGCGGCCTATACGATAGGCGTCTTTATTTAATCTATTGGTAAACAAGGACATATACCTATTGTATATGTCGCGGATTAAGCACACAGTGTAATCGTAACCATTAAATTGACTTCTAGCATGAAGTAAGTTTTAACATATTACAAAATTAAATAGGTGCTAAAGTTTAATTGTGAGTTTCATTTGTTCGAAACATTTGGCGGGAAACTAGATAAGGAGGGGACTGACTTCGTTTTAACTAGATTTGCTCTTTCTTATATAAAAGTATAATTATCTAATATATATTAGAAAAAGAAATAGACTAGAACTAGATATGCTAATATCTATGCTAATTTAGTACCTTAATAAAAAAAATTATCATTAAGTGGAATCATTAAAATATAAAAAAATATGAAAAAAAATTTTGTTTTAAACTTATATAATATATATTAAGAAAAATTACTATTTTTTTATTTTCTAACAACAACGATATTGTATAATGAGATCTTATATTTCTGTTGAAATAAAAGATAGTTTTAATAATACTAATGAAAATACATACAAATACATATTATTTTTTAATAATAATTCTATAGCTCTAAAATAATATTTTTTCAAATTAGAAATATTAACGATTACAATTACTGATAAGTGTTTAGAATTTATTTGCTATGAATGATTCTGATGAAAAAATTTATTCTATATATTTTCATTTAAAAATAAATCTTAATATTTAACATTATTATTATGTTGTGACAGAAAATAAGTACATCAAAAAATATGTTTACGATTATGTATTATTGATTTACATTTTTCTTTAATTTTGTAATAAATTATTTTTGATTAATAGAGTTTAACTAAGCAAGAAAAAGGTCGTTTTGAAGCAATGGCCAAAAATGATAAAATTGCATCCCAAATATCAGATAAAGACAAGAAAACATCATTTGGAGAATCACTAATTATGCTTCAACAAAAAGAAAAGGAAGAACATATGTTTATAAAAAATATGCAGGAAAACATAAAAGTAATAATCGACTCAGCTGTAAATCTTAATTGTACGTATATGACACTATTTCTTGTAGAAATTGGAAAATAATTTGCTATATGTTTGACACTTTTTTGACATTAACTTTAAAGATGATTTTTGTTTTTAAGATATAGAAGTCAAAAAGTATAACAAGTATATTAAATGTGCGCGCGCGCACGTATGTGTTTATGTATATTAAATATGCTATTAATAATACTTACTATTGCAGTTTTGGCGGAACTGAAATTTTGTTTTGTACATGTTAATTGGTAATTTTGAGTTTTTTCATTGAAAAACGGTATAGAAGATGTACATCATACTATTGTCAGTGCTAAGATTCCATTAGGATATAGACGGGAAGCACTGGAGATAAGTCAGAACAGTCATAAAATACCTGTAGAATATGAAGGCGGAGAGATTGACTTTGCTGTTATGTATGACAAACTAGCAAATTTCTTAGAATCTAGGAAAATTGTGGATCAATATCCTTATCTTTATACAAAGAAGGCTTTCACACAAGTAGCACAATCCTTGATAGCAAGACTGTGTAATGCAGCACGTAAGTATACATTTATAATAAAAATATATCACAATATACATATATATATACTTTTTACAACAAATAGAAATTTTATAGATATATCTTATACCAATATATGTTATTTAAATATATGTATTAAATAAATTTGCTTCTATTCCAGAACAAGATAAAGAGCAATTTAAAATTTATGAATTGGAGTCATTGTTCATACATTTAGCAAATGAATTATTCAAGAAAAGAGAAGATCGAGATATGGATTTAATTCCTGTTTATGCTCATAAAATGTTTGAAAATTATACGTACCGATTTGATAAAGGATTTGAATGTCATGTAAAAATAGTTTTATTATTTTCTGATATTATAAAGTGTATTTTATTCATATTATCATTTTGTAATATTTAGTTTCATAAATATGTTGATGGAGGACCTGAATACTGTAGTAAATCTGTACTGCAACAATGGGCATGGACATTATGCGATGAGTTTTGTGCACCACTTAATATCGAGATGCAACCAGGAATACATCAGCCTGATAGGTTTGACAGAAATCCTAATTTCAACGAGCGAAACTTGATGTCGATGATGAACAACTTGCAAATCAGGAATGTTCCTCAAGCTACATCTGAGAGCGATAGAGTTTTATCTATGACAGGCGTAAGTACACATAATATCTTAAAAATATATTACTGTAGACATTTATACATGGACAGGCACATTATACATACTTGTTTAAATAGTTTCATAAAATATACATAATACTATATAGTGAATGATTTTTATTAATTATCTTATAACAGGTAAGTGAGCAATATAGATGGAACCGTTCGAGTAGAACATATCAAGAAGAAATGCGTCGTCGAAATGAATCAAAACCAGTAGAAGTTATTGATTGTAGCAAATCTCAAGAAGGTACTAGTACATCTAATGATAAATCTTCTATTACCAAGTCTACTGACCAATCTAAGATGTCTATTGAAGAAAGGACTGAATACGTATGTTTTTTTATATAATCTTTACATTAATTGAAAAATATGTTGTTTATAAAACTTTCATATTATTTTAGTTAAATGAAAAACCATTGCGACCTCCAAATATTGATCGTAAGTTTGGAAAACTCTTTGCTTAAATTAAATAGGAATGAATATTTTATATAATTTATCTATTTTTATTAATAAAATGATCTTATTACATAAAATATTATAATACTAATAAAATGTTCACATTACCTTATATATATATATACATAATTATTTCTAGCACGTATGTATATTACTTCCGTCGAAGATTTAATTCCAACGGATGATGAGAACTTTCCTCCTATTGGTAAGTTAATATATAATATAACTAATCAGTTTTATATAACATTATAATTGAATATAATTTTTCCATTGCAATAATTACTCGTGAATGATTAAATAAACCTCTGTGTAGGAGGAAGAGGCGTGTCGAATAGATCTCGTACTTTCCAATCAAGAAAGGCGCCTCTAGGCAAAGGTAGTATTTTATCACCATAAATTTATTACACGTTACAATAATAAATGATCTTATCTACTATATAAATATTTTTTGTGAGAATTTTATTTCAATTTTTCTACAGGACAAGGACACACATAAACATATTTTTGGATGATTAAAGGAAGCGTATTGATAAACCGTAAGAAATTGACTAATCATAGTCGATCATTTTCCTTACGTATGATTGATTAATTTCTTACGGTTTGCAGCTTATTCCGCATATTGTAGACGAAATATAACAGATCTGACATGTCATTTGATGAACTTCAACAACGATATTTGATGAGCTTTACATACACATAAATATATAACAGTCATTTAGTTTATAATAGTCATATATAATAAGCATTAGTTCGATGAATGATTATAATATCAAAGCGATTTTACTTTTATTTGACAAAAGAAAAGAACTTACATAAAAATTTTTATATTTATATCAAACATTTATTTAGAAATAATGGGAAAATTTTTCCAGCATATATTCTGTTTAATGAGCTCATATTCATCTAGAAAGAAAAAAAGACGATGAACATCTTTCTGATACGATTTATTTGTAAAACAGTTAAATCATGTGTTATAATAATACATAAGTAATAAATTTTTTTATTTTTTAAATTATTTATTATTTATTTATTTTTTATTAATTTTTTATTAATTTTTTAGTAATTAATAACTTTATCTTTGTAATATTTGTTGTAAATATGTGTAATAACTTTACTTTTGCAATATTTGTTTGAACATTTCTCTTACAATGTAAGAAAGAGGGTTAAGAAATTGAGTTTTACAAAACTTTCTTAAATTTATAATTTTATAAAAACAATTTTTTATAATTTTTTATAATTATTCTCTTGACATATATTTTTTGAAAATATGTTTTAGCATACAGAAAATAATTTTTTTATTTAATATAATATTAAATGAAATCTTTACATTAAATTTCAAATTAGATTTCATATTCGGTGTTGTTACCTATAAAATATTGTTAAAGATAAATTACTATAAATTACTATAAATGGAATTTATTGTTCTATATACATGTTCTATATACATGTTTTATTTATATACAGAGTGGTCCACTTAAATCGAGTATCTTGAATATTTCGCTTATTTTTGGTGATATAAAAAAATGTTCGAATGTAAGTGGAATGGTTTTCCGAAGACATATTTTGGTTACGTTTTTTTGTAGATGAAGGAGCCAAAAAGATATGAAGGTCATCTCCACTTTTTTAAATGGAATTTGTAACTTTTTTTAGATTATATAATTCCTCTAATTATTCTGCATGTAAAAGTATTAAGGTAGAGATATCAAAAAATCAATAGTTTACGAGATACTTTATTGCGGCATATATTAATAAAATGTTAAATAACTCGTAAACTATTAATTTTTCGATAATTGTATCTTAATACTTTAATGAACAGAATAATGAGATGAACCAATTGGTGAAAAAAAACACATAGTTGCTTAAAAAAAATATGTATGCAAAATGGATAATTTTTTAAATAAGTAACTATGTGTTTTCTTTCCACCAATTGGTACATTTAATTATTCTGTTAATAAAAGTATTAAGATATGATTATTAAAAAATTAAGTTCGCGAGTTATTTAACATTTTATGTCAATATGTGCCATCATAAAATATCTCGTAAACTATTGATTTTTTGATATCTCTGTCTTAATACTTTTACATGCAGAATAATCAGAGGAATCACATTTAAAAAATTATTTGATTTAAATGAATCATCCTGTATATATATCTATATACATATATACGAGTAGAAAATGAAACGACAGTCTACCATCAACTGCATCCGCATTAGGCTTGTGTTCTGTTAACATCATCTGTCTACATAATGTGAAAGCGAATTGTTGGCAGATCCTGCTAACATTATCTGACGTTTGCAGATTCTGTTACGTTTTTTCTAGCAGTCTCTCAACAATATTATGTACATCTAATTCTGTTATCATTTTGTTGGCATAGTGTGTGGTAGACAAATATGCTAAAAAAATATGCTTTCAGACTTGACTATCTGGGTATATATCTATTCTATTATACATATATATCTAAATGTATATGTAAAACGAAATAAACAACAACTATAATTACAGTTAAATAATTACTGTGATTTTTCCATTTTAATTTGCCATTTCGATATTTTAATATTTCCAAAATTTCCTACACATTCTTAAAATTATTTTCTACAACTTCTTATAAAATTGTCTTTGAAATTAATTATTTCGCAATTATTACAATTTAATATTTCAAGCACTAAGAAGTTTTTGTGCGTACAAGAAATTAAATCTGAATTTAAAGCACAAAGAAGAAATTGGTATATTTAGTATTAGTCCAAGTTTTAGATTCTTATTGAATTGTTACTGTTCAATTATCTTACTTTTTAATCCTTTACTGCCGTGATGAAAAAAAATGTTACATTTAAAACTAATATATATGGATCCAATTAATGAAACTTAAATTTTTATTTAGATTTAAAAATTTATAATAGATTAAGGATCAGTTGGGATAAAGTAATATGAAGTTAAATAGAAAGAACTTCATTTATGTTTTACTACAAGCTTGTATAAATACGTACATAACATAAGAGTTTGATAATCGCTTAGCGGAAGATACAAGCGTATGTTTGATAATACAGTTATCATGTACAAAATTATGTATATTATATATATATAAATACATACACTCATGCATGCGTATAAAATTATCCTAATTAGTCCTTGTGTAATCGTTAAATATAGGTGAAAGTGATTCGTGAACGCATAGGATCGGAAAAGGGTGATCGGAAAAGGGTTCGTGTGTGTCTCGTGTGTGAGCGAAGGATTACCGTATATTGAAAATAAAAGCCATAAACGAGAGAGGTCCGTAATGGTTATCGCCGGAAATGCACGTGGTATGTCATATTTTGGTAAGATAGCCTCGTGTCAAACAATTATTTGTGATAATTATTGTGCGGTGGCAAATATTGATTACTATCACCACCGAAACCACCTCCAAAACCACCTCCTGGTCCACCGAAACCACCACCTCTGCCTGTTGATGATAGAGAATATAGAATTATAAAAAGTAATCTTTTCTAGTCTTTTATGTATATTGCTGAACACAAATTAATAGTAACATTACATCAATGTTATTAATATGTAATAATGTGTAATAATTTGCCATTCAATAATATAAATGTAACAGTTACATCATATTGAATAAGAAATTATAAGATTGATATGACTACATTACTATTTTATATAGTTTATGTTCAGAATATACAGGGTGTCTGGAAATAATCGCAAATATTTCATAGGCAGGTAGAGAGAACTAAACTGAGTCGAAAAGTCCTCTATCATTTTGCAATTTTCGTATTAGTTAATAAGATATTAATTACTAAAAATTGCCAAATATTGGTCTTAAATAATTTTTTACTCAAATACTATCAACTTTATAGAAAAGCTGCAAGAGACAAAAATCATTTATTTTCTTCTCATAAAGTTCTAAGAATTTTTTCAGAATTTTTTATCAACGTTTTAGTACTGCATTTTCTCTTTTTTATTAATATGAGAAAATACAGTATTAAAAAATTCTGAAAAAATTCTCAGGACTTTATGAGAAGAAAATAAATGATTTTTGTCTCTTGCAGCTTTGTCATACCTTTTAATCTAAAGATGCGCGATTATTAATATAATTTTATATTTGATTTTTTGTGTACGTGTATATTAAAATATACCGAAAAGAAATTATTAAATTTTAATACATACTTCTTTGAATAGCATTAAATAAAAATAAATTTACAGTAAATAAATATTTATTCAATAAAAAAGTGATAGTTAAATCAAATTAATGGTTTTTAAATTAAATACATGTTTATACATATTTAGTAAATATTTACTTAGAAAACAAATATTTATTAAAATTTTTGTCACATAACGTACATCGCCTTATATCACTGTGTTTTGTGCGAAGGATCATACTGACCTCCTTGATAACCGCTACCTTGATATCCGCCTCCTCCATATCCTCCCAAACCACCACGAGAGTATTGAGCCTGTCCTTCGTATTGAACTTCCGCGTTATAGCCATTCACGTCGTCAGCCATATACCGAACAATCTGTGTCCTCGAATCTGGCAACAGAACTCTGTACTCTCCTTGAACGACATTACCGTCGCTGCTCTCGCGTTGAGAGTAATCGTTGCCACTCGGCGGATCGACGACTTCGTATTGGAAGCTGTATGGCTGCGGCTATAAAATAATATATAAATTATCATCGTGTATATGGCAAACAATAATGCGATGAGAAGCAAGAATATTTGATTTATTATTATATAAAAAAATATTAAATAATTAATTATCGAAACTTTCAAGCACATCACTGAATATTTTTGAGCATTAAATATTTTGAAATTATGTTATTCTGCAAAGTTAGCATTTATCATACAATAATATAAATAATATAGTAATACAATAAGATAAAACTTGATATATGTGCGTGCATGCGTGTGTGTGTGTGTGGGGGGGGGTTGGAATTTTTAAAAGGTAAGATATTAATGACTGTGTTCAGCAGAAAAAACAACTTTATAAAATTAAATTAACTTAATCATATTAAAGAGTTATAACAATTGCAAAGTTGCTTTTTCTGCTGAGCATTGCAATTGCAGATGCATTGAAAACAATTTTACCCTTCCACCGTCACGTCCGCCGTATCCATATCCTCCTTGGAATCCTCCGGCACCGCCGTCTTGATAGCCACCGCTGCCACCCTCGCCAAATTGCGGATATCTATACGACGGTTGTCCTCCGAATCCGCTTGCACCTGGTCTACCAAAGGAGTCACCACCGGGTGCACCATAAGCTTGGCTTGGTCTTCCCCTATAACTGCCGATGCCAAAGTCGCCACCGCGGCCACCACCTCCGAAACCAGCGTCGCCAAATCCACCACCACCTCCTGGTCTGTTGTATTGATATCCCCCGGCACCTGTGCCACCCCCTGGTAGGAGACCCGCCAGGACATCACTGCCGATGCACGACAGCACCAAGACCAGCTTGGCCAACTGCAATCAGAGAGATTCTGCGGCTTTGCTACAAGATCGGTGAGTAGCGAATTATAATCATAAAGAAATATCATTACATCAGATTAATATATATGTTTGCACACTTACTACGCAACTTTGTTCGGACACACATCTATAATGATAGATAATAAAGGCAGATCAATTAAGATAAATGCGATATCGGAGTACTCTTTTCGATGAAAAAATTAATAATGCCTAATCATAAAATCATTAAAAGTGATGACAGCTTGTTTGCTAAGTATTATGAAATTGCGAGAGAATGATGATTATATTACTGACTTCC